AGACGACGACGGACGACGGCGACCACGGACGATGGCGGACGACGGCGACGGCGGCGACGCGCGACGACGACGATGACGATGACGGTGGCGATGGCGCGCGACGGCCCGGTGACAACGACGACGGCGGCGCGTCGACGGCGGTGACGACGACGGCGGCGACGGTGGCGACGACGACGACGACGACGACGACGGCGGCGAACACAATGGCGGCGGCGGTGGCGACAGCGACGACGGCGACGACGACGGCGACGGCGACGGCGGCGGCGACGACGACGACGACGACGACGACGACGACGGCGGCGGCGAGGACGATGACGGCGACGACGACGACGGCGACGAGTACGACGGCGGTGGCGGCGACGACGACATAGACGACGACGACGACGACGACGACGGCGGCGACGGCGACGACGATGGCGGTGGCGGCGGCGACGTTGGCGGCGACAACGGCGACCACGGCGGCGACGACGACGACGACGGCGGCGGCGACGACGACGACGGAGACGTCGGCGGCGGCGGCGACGAAGACGACGACGACGACAACGGCGGCGACGGCGGCGGCGGCGACGACGACGGCGACGACGGCGGCGACGATGACGACGACCGTAACGGCGGCGACGACGACGGCGACGGTGACGACGACGACTACGGTGGCGGCGGTGACGACGACGACAGCGGCGCTGACGACGACGGCGACGGCGACGACGACGGCGACCGCAACGACGACGACGACCACGACGACGACGGCTGCGGCGTCGACCACGACGACGGCGGCGCCTACGACGACGACGACGACGGCGACGGCGATGGCGACGGCGTCGGCGAGTACGACGGCGGTGGCGACGACAACGCGGCGGCGGCGGCGACGGCGACGACGACCACGACGGCGACGGCGACGGTGGCGACGATTATGACAACGACGACGACGGAGGCGTCGATGACAGCGGCGGCGGCGACGACGACGACGACGATGGCGACCACGACGACGACGACGACGACGACGAGGGCGGCGACGAAGACGGCGACGACAGCGACGGCGACGGCGACGACGACGACCACAACGACGACGACGACGACGGCGGCGACTACGACCACGACCACGACCACGACTGCGACCACGGCGACGACGAATCAAACACTACGACGACGACGACGGACGACGACGACGGCGGCGGCGGCGACGACGACGACGACGACGATGAAGACTACGACGACGACGACGGCGACGATAACGACGACCACGACGACGACCAAGGTGGCGACGGCGACGATGACTGCGGCGACGGCGGCTTCAACGGCGACGTCGACGACAACGACGGCGACGGCGGCGTCGGCGGCGGCGAGTGTGGCGGCGACGACGACGACGACGGCGACGACGGCGACGGCGACGGCGGCGACGACGACGTCGGCGGCGGCAGCGACGACGGCGACGACGGCGACGACGATGGTCACGGCGACGACGACGACGACGGCGACGGCGACGGCGACGACGACGACGACGACGACGGCGACCACGACGACGACCACGACGACGACGGCGGCGGCGGGGGCGACCACGACGACGACCACGACTACGACCACGACCACGACTGCGACCACGACCGCGACGACGACTGCGACGAAGCGAGCACCTGCTTCGCTCGAGCGCCTCCGCTCCATGACCCCGCCCCTGGGCCCACGTGGCCCCCGCGCACCGCGCGCCGGGGCGCTCGAGCGCCTCGGCTCCGTGACCTCGCCCCTGGGCCTACGTGCTCCCGCCCGCCGCCCGCCAGGGCGTGCAGGGCACGCGCGCCCACAGGGGGGCGGCCGGCGCCCCCGGGGAGGCCTGCCCGCGAGGCGTGCTCGAGGCACCGCCCGCCAGCGTCGGGCGGGGCCGCCTCGGCCTCGCCCGCGAGCTGCTCGGCGGGGCGCGGCGCTGGGCGTCGGGGCGCCGGGCGGGGCCGCCCAGCGCAGCCGCCGCGGCGTGCCCCTGTTTGGGATCGAGGTTCGGGTCGGGGGTCGCTGAGCCCAGACCTCGGGCGTCTCGAAAGAATCGAGACGGAGGTTTCTCCTAGTGTTCGGCCTCTCGGGGCCCTCGCCGGGCCTCGGGACCGTCAACAAACGACTCGGCATGAGAAGTTGGTCCCGGGGACGTGGTCGGGAGGTCGGGGGCCCGTGTCTCGAAAGAGTCGAGGCGTCGGGTGTCTGGGAAGGCGCCCCTGGCCCGAGGAGCCCCCGGCTTGTCCCTCCACTCTGGAGCCCCTGGGGCCCCCATGGGCCTCGCGCGGCGTGCACTGGGCGCCGTTGGGGCCCAGCTGGGAGGTCCTGGGGGCACATTGGGCCAGGGGCACTTCTATAGCAACGCCCGAGCAGGTCAGGCCAGGTCCTGCTGGTATGCCTACGGGGGCGGCCACATAAGGAGGAGGAGGAGGAGGAGGAGGAGGAGGAGGAGGAGGAGGAGGAGGAGGAGGAGGAGGAATGAGGAGGAGGAGGAGAAGACTCCCTCCCCCTCCAGCTTATGGTGGTGGTGGTGGTGGAAAACAGGGCACACGCGGGAAAAATACCGCAAGGTCAGGCCGCGCCGTGGGCTCCCGCGGCCGACGGGCATCTGCAAGCGACGTGCTTGCCAGGGTCTGGTCTCCGACACGACCGGCCCGGACGTGTCGAAGCACGCTGCGGATGTGCGTGCATCAGGGGCGGAAAAGAGGGGGGTGATGATTAGGGGGGGGGGATTTCATGGCGGGGGCCATGATATTTCCCCATATTCATGGCGCCTCTTCTTATTTCATTACGTCCCTGGCCCCCCCGCTGGGCCGCGCACATGCCGCCGGTCATGATTTGCACCCCCCCCTCTTGGACACCCCCCTCTTGGCCGCTCCCGAGTGCAAAAGTGGCCTGGCCTGGATCGAGCCTCGAGCGGAAGGAAGGAGGGGCTACGCAATTCGCCCCCTGGGAGCTCTTCCGGCCAAATTGCCCAAGGTGCAGCATCAGACGAGCATTCGGCGACGACGGGATCAGAGGCGGAGCGGAGAAGCACAGGGTACAGTCGGGTTTTGCTTTAACCTCCCACTGTACTCCCCGAGCTCGCGCCGGACCTGTGTTTGCAACCAGGGAGAGGGGTCTGAGCCGAGGAACACTTAACAGACTGAAGCAAAAGAAACTTTCGGAGGTCCGCGCGGATTTCTTGGATCGGCGATTGGGCGCCCTGCGCCCTCAGTGCGCTCCGCGCGACGGGGAAGCGGGTCCAGCGCCGATCCAACAGATGAGCGCAGACCTCTGAACGTGCATGTTTATGCCATTGTGTGTTCTTCGAAAGGGGGGAAGGGAGGGGGGTGCAGGAGGAGGAGGAACGCCAGAGAGATCCCAAGATGTATCAACGATGCTGCAACGCACCCTCAACGATGTATCAACAATGTATCAACGATGTATCATTGTAGCCCGAGATGCATCAACGATGTATCATAAGTCCCTACTCGAATGATTCTCCAATGTGGGACGCGCCCCCCCATGAATGACGGGCGCCCATGGGCCCGCAATTCAGGGGGGAATTCCGTTGTGAGGTTGACCGCCCTCCCTCCTTCGCGCCATGCGGAATGCGACGAGGCGGAGCTTCCAGGCCCAAGGAAGCGCCAAGCGACGGCCCCGCGGTGGAAAGGAAACGCCCTGCACCCGTGCTGCTGTCGGAGACTTTTCTCCGTTTCTGAGCATACGGTCTTGCGGAGTCGCCGGCGCGAAACGCCTTTTTGAACGGGACTCGCCCTCCACTCGTGCAGCTGCTGCTCAATTTCTACATCTGCGGTGCCATTTGTGGAGGAAGTCCCCGGCGAGGGCTCCATTCTGACAACGTGCGAGTCCCGTGCATGCAACATGCGTGCAACTGTTACACTGTCTAAAGCGAAGGTGTGCAGCGCTGAGGCGAGGCCCACATTTTGAAAACGACTGGCCCTCTATTCGGTGAGCGCTGGAGTTTCGCAACGACGAATCTGCACGAAAAACACCTATTGAAAACCACCAGCCCTCCACCCGAGTAATTGCTGGCTCTTAGGACGAATTTGCGCGGCACTGAGACGAGATCCACATTTTCCAACCGACCAACCCTCCATCCGTGTAGCTGAGCTGTTGCTGTTTCGCATTGTGTCTTATTCGGGGATGATAGCTGTAAGAAAGTCTCAGCGAAACGCTCGGCCCGGCCTATAGATACGTCTGATGGTGCGGCAAGGATGTCTTCGTTTTTGCAGGAAGAGGGATTGATGAGGAGGAGGAGGAGAGCAGGAGGAGGAGGAGAGCAGGAGGAGGAGAGCAGGAGTCCGAGCCGTGCTGGCTTCTGAATTCCAGCCATAGCCGAGGCGTCCATCTACATACACTCGTGAGTCAATTTGGTGTGGTTTGGTGCCGCTGGCAGCGTGAGAAGTGTAATCTGGCACGTGCCCATCCGATGAGGAAGAGGAGAATATGGTGAGATCAAAGAGGACGGGGAGGGTCAGAAAGTTGATGAGGAGGAGAAGCATCAACACTAATGATGATCACGTGGAAGAGGAGCAGGATAATGAGGAGGAGGAGGAGGAAGGTGATGATGGTGATGATGATGATGATGATGATGATGATGAGGAGGAGGAGGAGGAGGAGGATGAGGAGGATGAGGATGATGAGGATGAGGATGAGGATGAGGATGAGATGAGGATGAGGATGAGGATGAGGATGAGGATGAGGATGAGGATGAGGAGAGGAGGAGGAGGAGGAGGAGGAGGAGGAGGTGGAGGAGGAGGTGGAGGAGGAGGAGGAGAACGAGGAGGAGAATGGGGGGGAGGGGGAGGAGGAGAAGGAGGAGCAGGAGGAGCAGGAGGAGCAGGAGGAGGAGGAGGAGCAGGAGGGGGAGGAGGTGGAGGAGGAGGAGGAGGAGGAGGAGGAGGAGGAGGAGGAGGAGCAGCACGAGCAGCAGGTGCAAAGGTGAGTTGCCGAGCCCTCCACGCCCCGCCCACTGCGCTGGGCTGTCCTCCGCCGAGGCGCCTGGGCCCGCCCAGGTGGCCGCTGCCCCGCCGAGGCCTGCCGGTGCGCCAGCTCCCGCCGCCCCTGCCGCCGGCGCGCGGGCCCCGCCGACTGGCGCGCCCGCTGCCGCGGAGGCCTCGCCCCGCGCGGGGGCGCCCGGGGAGGCCGCTGGCGTCCACGGCAGGCGTCGGCCAGGCAGGCCGCCCGGCCTGGCGCGCGGCGCGGCAGCGCGCGCGGCGGCGTCGGCGGAGGCGCGCGCGGGCAGCGCGCCCGACGGGACGTCGCCCTGCGCCAGCGGCGCGGCGCCCTCGCCTCGCCCCGTGCTGGCTGGGCGTGCGGGGCTCGCCGCTGAAGCGGGCGGCGGCCCCGAGCTGGCTGGTCCGCTCGGCGGAGCCAGCTGCTCCGCCTCGGCTGTCGGCACTGCGCAGGGTGGCGCCGACGGCAAGAGGCGGAGGCTGGGGCCGGAGCCGCAGGCGCAGGCGCCGGCGCAGGCGTGCGGCAGCCTCGCGGCGGGCGCCGCCGAGGCGCTCCAGCTGCCGCAGAGGAGCGCGGCGGCCGAGGAGCTGCTGAGGGGGTGGCAGACCGCCAGCAGCGGCAGCTGGGCCCCCTTTCCGCCCAGCGGCGGATGGGCGGACCTCGAGCCGTCGTGGGCTGCGCAGGTGTTGGGCAGGGACCCGCCGTGCCTGACGCTGCGCAGCCGGGCCCTCGAGGACGCGCAGAACGATACCGCTGGGAAGATGCACATGGGGACGATGCTGCGGGGCGCTGACTGGATGGCAGATGGGTTTGAATTTGGCACACACAAGCTGCTGTCCACTGCTGAGCTGGCTGAAGATATCATGGACGCAGGCGGGTGTGCCAAAGTCAAGACCTCGCGGCTCCACTCTCTGTTCCAGGACCTGCTGCACAAGGTGAGGTACCCGCCGGCGGCCATGGAGTGCAGCTGGCAGCTGCGCCGGCTGGAATACGAGACCGGGCGCAGGCTGCAGGCGACGCCGGAGGACCTTCTGGGCGATCTGCCGGAGCGGCCCTTCAGGCTGCTGGACAACAGCAACGACGCGCTCGCGACGCAGCCGCCCCGCTTCGGTGACCACCCGCTGAGGGCGGAGCAGCTGCGCTCGCTGGCGTGGATGCTGCGGCGCGAGGGGTGCGGAGGCGTCCGGCCCGAGCCCTTCGTGGTCGAGTGGCGGCGCTTCTGGAGCCCAGGGACCGCCAGCCTCGGTCTCGAGGAGGAGTTCGATACAGAGCAGGTGACGCCAGGCGCGTCGGTGCGCCTCCGCAGGGATGCGGCGGGGCCTGTGGTGGACTGCGAGACGCAGCAGGCGATCTCTGCGTGGCCGGACGGAGAGGGCAAGTGCGTCCGAAGGGAGGGCCTGACCGCGGTCGTCGACTTCAGCGACGCGCAGGCGATGCTGCCACGGTCGACCACCCTCACGTGCCAGGTCCAGGACCTCGAGTTCTGCGACCACGGCAGCCTCGAGGTGGGCTGCCTGGTGCAGATCGTCCCTGGCACCAAGGCCCCCTCCTTCGGCTGGGGCGGCGTCAAGCCCACGTCCGTCGGCGTCCTGCTCAGGCAGGACGGCGACATCCTGACCGTCCACTTCGCGACGCACCCAGCGTGGAGGGGCAGGAGGGACGAGCTGCAGCGGGCGGACGCGGGCATCCAGGGCGAGCTGTGGACCCTGGACTTTGAGTCGGGGATCGGCTGCAGAATTGATTTACCCCAGAATTTATTGGTTCGTCGAATCCATTAGAAATGCGTAGAGTGCTTGTATATTTACGGACATTCTACTTATGACTCGGCGAGAGATAGATCAATTCTGTAGTCGATGCCCTACTCGAGGACTTGCGGGTGCGGGCCTCCTACGACGTACTCGGCGGCATCCTGGCGGACAAGATCGGCTACGGCAAGACCGCCACGTGCATCGCGCTCATCGACGCGACGCTGGAGGCGCCGCCGCCGCCGCTGCCGGAAGCCGAGACTGGCAGCTTCATCCCGGCCCGGGGCACGCTGGTGGTGGTGCCTTCGAACTTGTTCGAGCAGTGGCTGCAGGACAGCGCCCAGAATCCCTCCTCCTCCTCCTCCTCCTCCTCCTCCTCCTCCTCCTCCTCCTCCTCCTCCTCCTCCCATCTCGCTCCTCTCCCCTGCTCCTCCTGCTGCTGCTCATGCTCATCCACCACCCTTCCTGCTGATGCTGCACCTCGTCTCATCCCCGATCCACCTCCGAATTATCCTCCTTCTCCTCCGTAGCCATTTTGGCTCAAGCCATTTTGGCTCAAGCCATTTTGGTTCAAGTTGCCATATATCGAGGCAGCTGGCCAGGTCAGTTTCTTTGCTCTGCCTGGGAGGACAAGCCCAGACCAGGTCCTCCAGGCAGGGCTTGTCGCGCAACTTTCTTCCTCTACTGTACGTGTTCCGTCGTAACAGGGCGGCACCACCCGACGTCATCATTCTTTCTCCCTCTGCGCCATGGGTGCGGATGGCGACTCTCGGAAAGACAAGAAAGAGAAAGCCAAGAAGGACAAGAAACTGGCGCAGGCCAGCTCGAAAGTTGAAACTCCTCGGCGACATCGACGGGCTGGATCGTCTGATGAAGAGCGGATGGAGTCGGGGAGTTCTGGCGATGGCTCTGTTCGTCGTGCTCGCGGTCTTCGTGGAGGACGGGATCGTGACCGTGACCGTGATCGCGCCCGTGGCACCGGCTGTGGTATGGGCAAACCAGACGAGGCTAAAGGGCATCGCTCTCGGAGCGATCGAGGTTCGCACTCGCCACTGGCGGGAGCCCGCTTCGGACATCATGGATTTCTCTGGCGACAGGGCTCTCGTCGGCGGGTGCGGCCTTCATTCGGGAGCATGACCTCGTCCCGACCTTCCCGTCTCAAGAGCTTCGAGATGTTGCTGCTGGTGCTGGAGTCCTGCCTCCCACGCCCGTGGCGATCGAGATCGGCACCCCGCCGCGTATGGAGTTGGGTGGGTCTGCGGTTACTGGTACTCCCACTCCTGGTACCCCTCTGCTTGGCGCGCCTCCTGCTGGCGGAGCTGGTGTCCCTGGCGACCGCGGTGATCCCTGGGCTCGTGCGGCGACGGCTAAGCAATTGGAGGCTTTGCATCGCGAGATGTTCGCCGACTTCCAGAAGAGCTGTATGGCCGAGATGTCGGCACCATGTGTGGAGCTTCTCAAGAATAGCCTGCCAGGGGCGTTGGCTTCTGCGACGGCTCCGATGTTCCAAAAGTTTGATAAGACGGTCACCTCCCTGTTCGCCTTGCTCAGCGCGCAGCAGGCCGACACCCCGCAGCGGGTCGACTCGGTGGAGGCCACGCAGCGCGCGCTGCTGGCCCGCCTGGAGCGCCTTGAGAGCGAGCTGGACTTGGCCAAGCATGCGCCTCCTCGTGTGGCGCTCCAGAGGACGGCAGATTGGGACCGCGAGATTGACAATGGCATATTCTGTATTTCGGCTCGGGGGGATGTGTCTCCCAGTCCGGTCGCGGCGGCGATTCAGGGTTGGCTCTCTGCTTGTTCTTACGAGCTTGGCAAGGAGTGCGTGCTGGAGGGCCCCCCGCTCGGCCGCCAGTATGTCTGGCGCATGGTTGGCCCGCTGGGCGCGACCATCCAGGTGAGGGCGCGTCAGTGTCAGGCCGCTCTGCGCCTCGGCCCTGGGGCGCGGAGGGAGTTCAACGCCGAGGGCCCAGGCGGGCGCAGCATCGAGCTGTTCATCGGCCGCGACAAGAGCGACGTTGCCCGTGAGAAGGCATGCAAAGCATTGCGTACGACCCTGGAGCGTGAGTTCGGCAAGAAGATGTTTGTGGATCGTGATGCTGGCGTGCTCACCCACCGATTGGAACCCGTTGCGCGCGTGCTGGTCTCGCCACGCGACCAGCCTGTCATCGAGTGGAATCGCAACGGGATCGTCGACGTGGGGTTGGGCCACGCGGCTGTCGTGGAGGCTGGCAAACGTTGCTGCGCGCCCAGGCAGATCGAGTGGTGCGGGTAACAAGTGGCTGGAGTCCAAGACGGTGCAATACGCATCATGGAATACTCGTGCGCTGTGCCACTATGCGCCGACGGCTTTGGATCGTCGGCTTCGCGTTCTGACCTCGCTGGCGTGACCGCAGGCAGTCGTGAGTCTCCAGGGGGCCCATGGCTCTCGCGACACGGTCGCTGAGGCCTGCCAGCGTGCTGGGGTCCCCCATCAAGTTTCTAGCTCGTATGAAGAGGGGCCCTACTGGGGGGGGGCGTGGCCGCCTTGGTTCCGTCGGGCCCATGGGCCACGCAAAATCTTGTCACTGCTCCTTCGGAGGTGCGCCGTGGGCGAGTTTGATTGCTCAAGGTCACCTCCCCAATTTTATGTATTATCCATTGGAGCATTCACAATTCGGAGATTCCCTCTGGAGTCCTTCGGGGCATCCAGGAGCGCGTGCAAAGCCAGATCGCGGATGTCCGTGCGAACCCAATGGGGGTAGGTCTAATTCTGCACGGCGATTTTCACATCGCCAATGAGGAGGTCGGGTCGGCAGAGGCGGGCGGGTGATCGCGTCTGGAAACAGGTCTTTGGCAAGCTCACGGAGCCTGCGACGGATGCGCTGACGCGCTGGCACCAGGGGGCCCGCGCGGAAGCCGGTGTGGATCGATCCTTCACGCCCCCCCCCCCTGGCTCCTCTGCGAAGGGTATCAGACTGCTGTTCGGTTCGAGAAACCTCGCGAACTCTTCCTGCGCTGCGTTAGTAACCACTGCCCTGTTACTGTCGCGTTGAACGCCAGGGCCGAATCGACCTCATCGGGAATTGGCCCTGGCCAGCCACAGGCTGGGTCGTCGCCTCGCCCTCGCCCTCTTCCTCTGATGGTTTCCTCGGGCCCCCTCTTTCCCAAGCTTGTGGCTTCGTGCGAGAATCTCATTGATTTCGATCGTCTTGAGGCGCCTGTCGCGCTGGAGCTTGCCACTCTGTGCAGGCAAGCGGCGGCTCGTGCCACGCGTGCTCTTGCTCTTGCTCGGGATAGCCGTGCGATGATGTCCCGCGCAGTGGTCTCCAGGGCGCTGGCTCGCTGTGTTGCCCGTCAGGACGCGAGGCTTGCAAGGGCCATCCTTGCTCGTCGCAGCTGGGCGCGCGCTCATCTGTCGGTCAATGCCCTTGATGGGGCGCGGCTGCTGGGCCCAGGGGTCTGCCAGGATCTGCGCTGCTCACTCCAGCTGCAGGGGCGCAGGGCCGTCCGCGAGCGCCTCGAGGCAGAAGCCCGCGGGGGGGCCAGGCCTGGCATGCAGCAGCGCATCCGAGCGAGGCGGGCTGCGGGATTTCGCCGAGCTCGCTTATGGTGCCCCCATCGGGAGACGGAAGCTTCCTGCGGCGGTCACGGGTGGGGGGACTGGTGGGGCGGGGCGCGCCGCCTCGTCTCCCGAGGGCATGGCGCACTCCTCGAACCAGCACTGGGCACCCACTTTTGGCCAGGCGACGCCGCTGCCGAAGCCAGCGTCGCGCTACACCCAGGAGTTTTGCAATTCAAGTTTTGACTTTCGGGATCTCCCCCCCCCCCCCCCCCCCGACCCCACATGCGGTCTCGGGGTATCTCGCGGGCGCTTCCTCGTCGGCCCCTGGCCCAGACGGGCTTCCTTTCTCGGCGTGCGTCGCGGGAAAGGCCCGGAAATCCCCCGTCGGGTTTTACTTTGGGTAGTGACTGGCCGCCGCATGTCACCCGAATGTTGCGCTGCGTTGCAGGCGTTTATCCCGGAGCCTCTGCCAGGCGACGGCCCGTCGCAAGACGGACTGGTTCGAGCTGGGGCGGACGTCAGGCCTCTCGGTTTGAAAAAACAGCTCGAACAATGCTGTTGCTGCAGTGCTGCGTTGAAGTCTCACGGGTGCATTGCAAGCGCTGCTGCCCCCCCCATCGTGGGTTCGCGCCCAAAAGGAACTTTCTCGACAACATCGTTGATTTAGACTCGATCGCGCGGATCACGAGCATTCGGAATTTTGGAAATCCCACGGGTGTCCCCTCGCTCCTCGCCTTCGATTTCTCTCAGGCCTTCCCCTCGGTGCGACAAGAATGGACGCTCCAAAATGTGTTAGCTGCTCCGATCCCTTGCGGGTTTCAAAAAGCAGTTGAAGTGTTTTGCCACGTGAACCGCTGCTTCGCAGGACAGGGGGATTCCATGGCGTTCCTGTTCTGGATGCCTTCGGGGGCCCCCCAGGGGCGCCCGCTCTCGGGGGCGCTCTTCCTTTTCGTTGTCAACCGGTTTATTCGGGACATGGAGGTCTCCATTGCGCGCGTCCGCAGGGGCCTAGTTCGCGCTTGCGCTGATGACATAAGAGCGATTGTCTGGCATCGCGATGGCTGGAGGCGTCTCGGGCACATCTTTGGGCTTGCGAAGAAAGTTGGTGATCCCGCCCTCAAATGCAGGATGTGTGTCGCGGTGCCGCTTGGGGCCGAGGTTAGGGCCGAAACTGAAGAGCTCTTAGCCTTCGCCTGCCCGTCGTGGACTGCCTTTAAGATCGCCAATCAGACATTTTATCTAGGATGCCAAATTGGGCCGTCTGTCGTTCCTGCTGATGCTTGGGATGCCCCGTTCGCCAAAGCCTTGGATAGGGCATCCGGGCTGGGGGCTCGTGGTGCACTCCGGGCGACGTCGCTCGAAATTTACAGGTCTCGGGCCCAGACGGTCTTGAGCTATAAGATGCAGCTGCACTCCCTGCCGTGGCGAGAAAATTAGATTGAGAGGAGATTGCTTGCATGGATATTTCGAGTGCCGTTCTCCATGCTTCGACGGAGTGACTGGTTGCAGATTGCCTCGTTCGGATGCCCACAGCCTGTCAGTTTGCATGCAACATGTGTAGCGTCTCTCATGCGTTCGGCGTTAACCACGTGCTCGACTTGGCAGTGTAATATCGTTACGATTCAGACGGTCCTGAGGGAGGAGGGGAGTCTCGGGCGGTGGCAAGGGGTCGATGAAGGAATAGGTATCTTCGCCCCGCCTTTTGGATATCCCTGTCGGTGGCCAGCGTGTTCGAAGATGCTGCCCTCGGTTTCCCGTCCTCACGCAGGCTTCGCGCGGGGGGGGCGGAGGCTCTCGCCCTGTTCCGCGCGCCCCCGCCCCCTACCCCTGAGGAGGCGAGGAGAAGGCCGAAGTGGCAATCTCGGTTCTTGGAGGTCTTCCAACGGGCCCTCTTCTCGCCCCCCCCCCCCAGACCGTTGTTTGCCGGAGGAGGTCGGAAGCGCGCTTGTGTTCAGATGCAGTTCTCGGCGTCCGACTGGACGGCATTTCAAGAAATCATGCGCGCGGCCCCGAAGGCATGGGCGTGAATTGCCTCCCGGACGGGGATGGGTGGGTGGCCCACGGGTGGGCGGATGCAAAGAGTCGCTGGATGTGTGCTCGGGTGCGAGGGCTGCCCTGACGCGCTCGCTCATTGCCTTGTCTGTCCTCGCCTCCTGTATTGGGCCTCGGTGTGTTTCCGTTCCCCACCGCCTCCTCACCCCCTCTTCCTGCTCGGGCTCCGAGGCGGGCAGCCGGCGTTCATTGTCACCCTCTGCCACTTCTTTCGGTGATCCTCTCGCCTTGCCTCCTCTCTCCAGCGCCCTATCACGCCGACAGAGGCAGGCAGGCTGGTAGCAGTAGCAGTAGCCAGAGGGATCATGGACTCCTGAGGCACGCTCCACCTCCTCCTCCTCCTGCTCCTCCTCCTCCTCCTCCTCCTCCTCCTCCTCCTCCTCCTCCTCCTCCTCCTCCTCCTCCTCCTCCTCCTCCTCCTCCTCCTCCCCCTTCTGCCCTCAAACCTGTTCGAGCGGCGGCTGCAGGACAGCGGGGGCTGGCAGGGCCCCAAACGACGTGCCCGCGCCGCGGAAAAAGAATTGAAGAGTTTGGGCCCGCGCCCGAGGACACCACGACGGGAGAGTTTGGGCCCTTCTTCCAGCCTTTGGGGGCCCCCGCTGGGCCCCCGAAACCACCCAGGAAGGGCTCGGGATGACAAGACGGGTCGGGACCGCCCAGAATCCCGAATCAATCAGCCACGCGCAAAGCGGGGCAGGGGGGAGGGGGGAAGGCGCCTCAGAAACACCCTGCTTCTCAGAAGGCGCGGGCCTTATCTGTAGATGTGACGCCGGCGCTTTCTAAGAAACGGCTTCCTTCTAAGAAGCTTCTCCCCATCCCCTTGCCTCCGTGCGCGCGCCGCGAACATCGCCTGTTTACGTCCCCCCCCAGCCGGGCCGATCCGAGATCTGCGGTTCTCGAGAGGGTGCTTCGGCCGCAGCAATGTCTGGTTCGCCAGCCCGATGGTCTGGTCCCGGGCCGCTTTCGCTGAAAAGGGCATTTTGCCGACGGGAGTTCGGCCCGCCCCCCCCCGCCGCACAGACGTCCAGTGCCTTGATTTCTTGAGTACGGCCCCCCAGAAGTTCTGACCCTTTTTCCCAGAGTTGGCTTCTTATCCCCAGCCGTTCGTTGACAGTCCTTGGGCCCGGCGAGGGCCCCCAGAGGCCGAAGACGACGAAATGCCTCCGCCCGGACTTTTTCAAGACGTTTCGAGTACAGGATCGACCTCATAATTGATTTACCCCCAAAATCGGTTTGTTCGTCGAATCCACGGGACATGCGTAAAAAAATGATTCATCGATCTACGAACATTCTACACGGATGGCTCGACGAGAGAAGCAGTTTTGGGGGTAGATCAATTCTGGATAGCCGATGCCCTGTTCGAGCGTTGGACGTCCGGGAGCAGGAGATCTCCAAGTTCGTGTGGGGCGGCCGCAACATCCGGGACCGGCTGCAACGGGGCTGGTCGCCGCCGGGCTGCCCCTGGCGCATCTTCGCCATCACGAAGGTCTCGCCCCTCACGCGCGTCGCGGCCGGCGAGCTGGCAGAGGCCGACGTTGTCCTCTGCTCGTACAGGCTACTCTTCGCGGAGGAGGGCCCGTCGGGACAGCAACGGCTTCTCCGCCCGGCCCGAAGTTGGCCCAAGTCCGTGCCCAGACGCCCCCTGGTGCCCATCCTGGCCCGTTTGTCGAGGCGGGTCCAGACGTCGCCACGAAAAGCCTCCAGGAGCCCCAGCAGGAGGGCGAACAGCGCCAGAACGCAGGGGGGGCGCTGTTGTTCTAGGCCTCTTCGATGGGGTCGGAGTATAGGTTGGGTCGGAGGATTGCGCCGCATCGGCGATGCATCGACGATGCGGCTCGACGTGGAGTCCGCGTTTCTTCACGCTGACGTCGCCGACGCATCCGTGATGCATCGGCGATGCGGCGCGATATCCTGCGACCCCCTCCGCTCCGCCTCGGAGGAGGGCAACGTGAGACAACGGCCGTGAGACAACGGTGGCCAAATCGGCTCAAAATCGGTCCCCGGACCCCTCCCGGGGTCCAAACGCACCGACTTGTCACGCTGCGTCCAGCCGTGGCGACGAGGAGGCCCCTCGGAGGCGAAAAAAGCAAAAACGTCACCCTTGTCTCACCCTGCCCTCCTCTGACTGGCCCCGGCCGGGATGCCTCCCGTGGCCTCGGCGGCGCCCTGCTCCGGCCCTCTCGCCGATCTACCAGGAGCGCCGCAGGTCAGGAGCGACAAAAGGACGCACACGTACATGAATCCACGCTGCTTTCGAGAGTACACATTGCGCAAATGTTCGTATAACGCGGCCAGTCTCGCGTTTCGAGGGACCGTGTTCATGTACGGTAAGTTCGCGTCGTGTCGACCGGCGGCGACCCCGCCGCCAGCGTTCAACGTTGAACGCCGCCAGCGACCCAGAATCGGTCGATGTTGAACGATCGGACGTTCCAGAAACGGCGGATCGTTCAAGGTTGAACGATCCCCGCGGTGTCAGAAACCAACGCCGGGGTCGGCACGACACGAACCTGCCGTACATAGCTGGGCGCGTACTCGGAGGGCACCAACTATACACCAACACCGATCCTGGCCCAGGATCACCCTGGGCCCAGGATCGGTGTATGTGCCTTCTTGCGCAAGGCAGGAGGGCGTAGACACCGATCCTGGGCCCAGGGTGATCCTGGCCAGGATCGGTGCTGGTGTATGGTTGGTGCCCTCCTACATACGTCCTTGTTGGGCTCCCTCGCAGGGAGCTCTGCGCGCGCGCCGCGGGGGCCCCGCCGGACGCCCTGGGCCGCGCCGCCGCGCCGTCGCTGGCGGACCTCGTGGCCGCCACGGGGCGCCTGCTGGCCGGCGGCGGCGAGATGCCCAGCGGCCGCAGGGGCGCGGGCTCCGTGGGCCGGTGGCAGGAGCTCCCGGGGGGGGGGGTAACACGGCGCGAAGCTCCCAGACCCCCTCGAGTAGTGAAAAAATCACGACGGGGTGTTTTTCCTAATTTTCGGCCTCCGGGGGCCCTCACCGGGCCTCGGGAGCGTCGAAAAACGACTCAGGATGCAAAGCCGGTCCTAGGGAAGGGGTCCAGACCTCTGGGGGTCGACGTAATGAAAAAATCATTACGTCGGGGGTCTGGGCCAGCGGAGAGCTCCCACGGCGGGACGGCCTTCGTCCGCGCGTCGTTCCTCGGCCTGCCCCCCGAGGTCCGGCGATGCGGAGAACAAGCCGCAGCAGCGCAGGGAAGTCGCGACTGGAGCCCTGGACCCCGTCTTTGTCTGCGTCATCGGCTCGAGTCGGGGGCGGAAAAGAGGGGGGTGATGACTAGGGGGGGGAGGGGATATCATGGCGGGGGCCATGATAGTTCCCCAGATTTTATGGCGCCTCTTCTTATTTCGTTACGTCCCTGGCCCCCTCGCTGGGCCGCGCACATGCCGCCGGGCATGATTTGCACCCCCCCCCCTCTTGGACACCCCCCTCTTGGCCGCTCCCGATCGAGCTGGAGCGATCCGTGGGGGGATCCTGGCCAGGCCCGAGAAATCGGGCGACCGCGCCCGCTGTGAAGAAGCTGCCACGCCAGGATCTGAGAGAGAGCCAGCCTCGGCCTCGCGGCCGGCCCGCTGCGGGGCCCGGGGGCCAGCCGGAGCGGGCCCCTGGGGCGGAGAGAGCCAGCCCCCCGGGGGGGGGGGGCCGCGGGCTGCAGCGCGGTGCACGACGCCCTGTCGGAGCTCGGGCCGGGGAGGCCTCCCGCTCGCTGCCGCCCGGCCGGGCTCCAGGCTCCAGGGCCCGGTCGGGCTCCAGCTCCGTGGCCCGTGGGGCGCCCACGCCCGCGGCCCTGCCCCAGGCCAGGCCGGGCTCCGGGGCCAGGCCGGGGGCGCCCTCTGGCCTTGGGCCTGTTTCCCACCACCACCACCACAGGTCGGAGGGGGGAGGGGGTCCTGCTCCCCCTCTTCTTCTGCCTCCTCCTCGGCCCTTCCACCTCCTTCCCCCCCTCCAGCTTGTGGTGGTGGTGGGAGACAGGCCCACCACTCTGGTGCTGGGCCAGGAGGGGGGCGCCCCCAGGCATGTGCACGGCGTGGCCTGGACCCCCTCTCGGGGATTGGCTTCTTCGCCCTGCATCGCGCAACAGGAGGGGGGGGGATCCACGCGAGAGGGGCCGGGGGCTTCAGAGAGCAGGCCTTCCCAGAAGCGCCCCGGAGGCTTCCGAGGCCGTCCAAGGAAGCCCACGATCCGCGAGGGGGGCCGGGGGCTTCAGAGAGCAGGCCTTCCCAGAAGCGCCCCGGAGGCTTCCGAGGCCGTCCAAGGAAGCCCACTGCCGCTCCAGAAGCTCGACCCCGCCTTCTGAGAAGGCCGCGCCCCGCCCGAGCCGTTTTGTGACGCTCCTGGGGCCCGGCAGGCGCCCCGAGAGGCCGAATGTTGCCTGCAATTGTCCGCCCTCCTCCTCCTCCTCCTCCTCCTCCTCCTCCACCCTTCCCTCCCCCCTCCTCCCTCTCCTCCCTCCTCCTCCTTCCTCCTCCTCCTCTCCTCCATCCTCCTCCTCCTCCTCCTCCTCCTCCCTCCTCGTCCTCCCTCCTTCCTCCTCCTCCTCTCCTCCTCCTCTCTCCTCCTCCTCCCTGCCTCTCTCCTCTCCTCCTCGTCTCTCCTCGTCCCTCCCTCCTCTTCCTCCTCCTCCTCCTCCTCCTCCTCCTCCTCCCCTTCCCTCCTCCACCTCACTACCTCCCTCCTCCTCCTCCTCCATCTCCGCCTCCTCCTCCTCTCTCCTCCTCCTCCTCCTCCTTCCTCCTCCTCCTCCTCCTCCTCCTCCTCCTCCTCCTCGGTCTCTTCACGGCGCGAGGGCGTCAGGGCACCTGCCGGCTCTCTGCCCAGAGCTGCCCAGGACCTGGTCTTCCCGGTGCTGGAGATGTTCCATTGGCGCCGCATCGTATACGACGAGTTCCACGAGCTGGAGAGCTTCGACGGCATCCAGCAGAACAGCCTGCAGCACCTGCGCTCCGCGTGCGCCCCTTTGCCCTGGGCGGATCGGTGCGCGGGGGGCGGGTGCTGGAGGGGGACGCTGGAGAATGAAGAGGGGGAGGGGGGTGGAGGGGGACGAGGGAGGGGAGGGGGACGAGGGAGAGGGTGGGAGGAGGAGGAGGAGGAGGAGGAGGAGGAGGAGGAGGAGGAGGAGGTACCGGCATCGGCATCGGTATGATGTCACAAGTTGCCAGTGGCTTCCGAAGCAGACGAGCTAGGGCGTTGGAAGATGAAAAGACGGGTCCCACTCGGTGGTGGGCCCGTTGTCAGAACGAGAACCGAGGGCGGGCCCGAGTCCGAGTGCGGCGCGATGTCGTTGCCACTTCCTCTCTCGGGCCGCCTCCCTCTTCTGTTGGAGCAACAGGCGGAGTTCCGAAGGCTGAGGCGCAGGCGGAGGGGGAGGGGTGGGGGGGAGGAGGAGGTCGGGGGGTCTCCCCCAGGGCGGCCTCGGCCGCCTCCGTGGCAGTGGCGTACATCGTGTACTCGCAGAGCGGGTCTTTCTCCTCGGAACCTCCCTCTCCTCACTCGAGGGCCTGGGAAGTGCACTCCATTGGGCCACGATGTAGTTCTGGGTAAGGTCGCCGAGGTTCGGGTCCAGAGCAATGTCCAGGGAAATCGCAACCACGGTCCAATGCCCACTGACCAGCACCCTGAAGGTCCCGGGTCGACGCGCACCTGAAAACAAGTGAACGAACGCTAGGATGGTGTATTGGATCTCCCTAGGCAAAGCACTTCCAGGGAAGCCTTCAAACCCCTCAGGTCTAAAGGGCCAGTTCTTTTCCATGGGGTCTCTAATATCGACAACATCATAGACAATGGGTTCCCGGGGTCGAGCTGATACTCGGATTCCTTGATAAGTTCCTAAGCCTGCTCATAGGGAGTATTCAACCGAATCGGATTGTGGTAGGACCAAGGGGCCCGGTGTGCCGGGAAAGCAGCTTCACGTCACACATGGCGCCTCTCGACCTTGCCGTGGTTCTTGCCACGTCTTGCTCCTGCTCACAAAAATCATGCTGGGCCTGGTCAACAGGATCATACTGTTAGCTGTCAGCATGCATCTGGGATTGCCTTATGCCATGTGATCGATGGCCAGCTCCTGCCAGGCACGTCGGCGAGCCCATGTACCTGGCAGTTTACCTACTGTGTTGAACATGTTGTGAGGATCTGTGAGCTCTGAGGGCCGCGGGCTTCGTTCGGGGTCTCGTAGGGACAAAAGGGACATATGTATCTCCTGGGTGGGAGCTTGTGAACGTTGATCCGATGACACGGAACTCCTACCTCCTTAACCTTCTCCATGATCCTCTTGATGATCGATTCCGCCTGATAGTTTCGAGTATCCCATCTGCCTTGCGCACGACTAGCCTGAGCAATTTTGTTGGCCTACGCGTTGCCTGGCTTGCACATATTTGCCTCCCTCTTCGGGCGGGCGGGGGGAGGAGGGAGGAGGGAGGAGGGAGGTCGTAGTTGGAAGGAGGCATGAGCGTGGTGCTTTGCTCTATGAAAACATACCCGCGGGCGAGTGCCCTGGACCCCGGCAAGTAAAACGAAAGAAGTCCTTACAAGGCGAGGGAGTCTCGAAGGCCCGACGGGGCGTTCGCCAAGCCAAGCCGAGGGGGCGGGAGCAAAGCAGGGGTGAAAGGGGGAAGCCAGAGTGAAGTACACATGACTACGCACTGGAAAAGGAGCTGTAGAAAGACACAGCTCGAACTCTAGAGGCTCAGCGCCAAGAGATACATGAAGTGCGGGACGCCTCTCTTACATGAGAAGCCGGTCCGCAGCCCAAGAGGCGCGCTGGCGTGTCAGCACGTGCCGTAGCTCACGAGCTGCGCATGGAGACCTCTGGCAAACGGCAGCCACGTGAAGGTGCCTGGCACCTTGGAGCAGATCAGCGAGGCGACACGCCGGCAGGGGCAGGCCAGCAGCCACGAGTGGGTCCCCGGGGCCTCGTGGCACGCCGGGGGCGCGCCGCCGTTTCCGCAGGGGTGATCCTCGAAGGCGAGCGGCGGCCTCGTGAAGGTGCCGGGCTCCTCGTACAGTCGGGGCGCTGAATGAGGAACCCTTTTCGTTGGGGAGGGGCCCCGCGTTCTTTAATTGTTCCACACCTTGTCCAAGGTTTTCCTTAAGCTTTCGACAGGAAGTCGAAGGTTAGCTTATGAAAAAAGGGGCCTCGTTCCTTATTTAGGGTTCCTTAGGTCAACGCCTCGACTTTGGCACACCGCCGTGATGCTGAGCTTGGACGTCGCCGCTTGCGCCAGTGGCACGGTGCCGAAGGGGTAGCAGTATTAGGTCGGGCGTGTCCCCCTACAGGGGGATTTTCGACGAAAAATGAAAATACCCCCAAAAATACCCCCAAAAGGCAAAATATATGCAAAAAATAGTCCCCAGGCTACTGTTGGACTACTTTTGGATTATTTTTGTGGCATTTTTTATCTTTCGTCGAAAATCCCCCTGTAGGGGGACAGGCCCGACTCAATAGTAGTAGTCCTCGCAGGAGATCGGTAGCCCCTTGTAGATGCCCGGCACCGCGTAGCCCTCGACCGTGATGCTGAGCTTGGACGCGCTGCCGTAGCGGTAGGGGTAACCCTCGAAGGCGACCGGCAGCTCCGAGAAGATGCCCCGCACTTTGGCGCGTTCCAGCGAGGTGAAACGCTGGCAGAGGAAGATGACGAAGCAGCCGGCGACTTCCAGGCCACCAGTTTTCTTGGTAGATTGGCAGTCCCGAGTTGAAGCCCGGAACCTCGTAGCATTCCGCCGCGATGCAGAGCACAGAAGTCGCCGCTAGCGCCAGGGACGCGTTCCCGAAACGGCAAAGTCGTCCTCGAGTGCGATCGGCAGCCCCGTGTGCATGCCCGAACGAGGCCGGCTACGCGCCCGCACATGCGAGCGGATGACTCGCCCAGGAGCGCG